CCATATCACTCATCAAGAAGATGCCCCTCAGACATGGCCACAGGCCAGTCCAATAGAGGTAATTCCCCGATTGAGGCTCCCTCAACCCAGATGTGTCAAGTTGACACTAAAGCTATCCAGCACACAGATCATATAAGTAGTGTTGAGAACTTGACTTTATAGAGAATTTTTTAACTCATGTTCAAGATGTCCAGGGAATATGAGTTTTTCCTTCTGTGCTTCCCTCCAATCTTAGTTTCCTTCTGCACAGGCAACTAGCATTGCTGCCATTTTCTCCTCTGCCCTTCCAAAGACAGACATGTTTATATGCAAATATAACTCTGCCCCTATTTGGCCAGGAAGTCTAAGGGTAACAGGAGGCTCTGGGACTCGTAATCCAGACCAGCCTCTACCTACCCTTCATTGTTGTGGGCTAGGTTTTAATTCTTATTAACAATATTATAAGTCAAATTTTTCTTCTATATTTACTATTATTTTATTTTCTTCTCACAGTTTAAATTAGGAAAACTGTCCTAGACATAGAAAAGTTAATATTACAATAAATATCCTCAAGTTGCTAACATTTTGACGTTTTTGCTTTTTTTCTCCTTCATCTCCCCCATCATATTTCACTTATACATCATTCAACATTCTTCTTCTAAGAACAAAGATATTCTTCTACATACCCACAATGAAAAGTGCTTCTGGGATATCTATTCTATCTTTGGATTTACCCAACTGCATTTATTTAGAGATGTTATATTCTATATACGCATTGTATGCTGTTGAAAAGAGGTAATAGTTGTAAGATGCATTAGAGTAAAAAGATGAGGTTACTGTGACCAGGGTCATAAACCAATCAGCGGTCCTAGGATCCAGAGGCTGAGCCAGCCCTCACTGGAAGCTGGGAGGTCAATGTCTCAGCTCACCTATAGTCTATTCTTGGGCCTACCTTGGTGTATTGGCTGATGCACTCTGAATTAGGACAAAGATTCAGTTTCATTTGAGAATTTTAAAAAATGAAAACTGTATCAGTGACCTAGACAAGACAGAAATGCATTTTTCTTTGAGCTCTGCCCTACCAACTGCTCAAGACTAGTTGGTATTCCACAGGGTAAAGGATCAAGGCTGCAGTTACCAAAGTCTCTAGGTGTCACCTTCATCCAGGTGATCTAGGGAGGCTCATCACCACCTTCAAATTTTAACAGTTGGCTAGTCACTTCTATCTATGTTTCAGGAGCCATAATGTAGTCTAGGCAGCTGGGTGTAGTGGCGGACACCTTTAATCCCAGCATTCAGGAGGCAGAGGCAGGCAGATCTCTGTGAGTTCAAGGCCAGCCTGGTCTACATAGCGAGCTCCAGGCCAGCCAAGGATAATATATATATTCTAAGCTCCAAGGAAGGGTAGGAAGTACAGTCTTCATTCTTGGTGGCCATAGATAGCCAGCCATTCTAATGCCATAGGAGAGCAGCATGGAGAATCATGAGCTGTTTCACCCACAGATTTATTGCTTTATCAATACTGCTTTAAATCTAGCCAAGACTTTATTATTCACGAAGCATTTTACATTCTCACATCCCCCTATCAAATAGATATTTAGCAAACTAAGTCTAAGACAAGTAACACACGTGCACACTGGGTCTACACTGACTACAGAGAGAGAGACAGAGAGACAGAGAGACAAAGAGAGAGACATTAGCACTACAGAATTTTATTCAGAAATTATCCTGCTTTTGAACTAATAAATTTAACTTCTTGGCCACATGAATCATAGAAATTCAGTCTCTTTAGTAGAGGAATTATTCGAAACAAACTGTCATTGTAACTCTGTTGCATTTTAAAAGTTCAAATTCACTTGTGAGTTATTTTGTACTGGGGACTGAACCCAGGGCCTCACACATGCTAGGCAAATGCTCTGCTACTAAGCTACACCCTTCTGTTACCTTTAGACCTTAAAAAATGCAGCAGTTTCTTCGCTTAAAATAGTTGCTGTAGTAAAGCCAGCTTCATGAGGGTCATTGTGAGGATCAAATGAGACAAACCATGCTTGGCATATCAGCAGACACATAATAAAGTGCATGATTAATTTTAGTTACTATGACTATCAGCTTCATGTTTTGGGGTTTTGTTTTTTTGTTTTGTTTTGTTTTGTTTGTCATTTTGAGACAGGGTCTCTGTATAGCCCCAGCTGGCCTGGAACTCACTACATAGACCAGGATAGCCTCAAGTCTCACAGAGATCTGCCTATCTCTGCCCTCCAAGTGGATTTTTTTAAAACTCACTTCCATTTTCCAAAACATATTCTCCTCTGATAACATGACCCATCAGGCACTAGAACAAGTGTTTTGCAAGGTACTCTCCACTAGGGGACTTCTAAAATGTTTTGTTTTGATGATTCTGTCAACAGCATCACAGCCACGGCTGCAAGTATTGGGGCAGCTGGGATTCCTCAAGCAGGCCTGGTCACCATGGTCATCGTGCTAACATCTGTGGGCCTACCTACGGATGACATCACACTCATCATCGCAGTCGACTGGTTCCTGTGAGTATAGGGACTGCGTTCTGGCTCACATTGCAGCTCCCACCCTCCAGCCCATCCCTGTTCAGCACTCCATGATTCTAGGGTGACAGATAGCCTGGTAGACTTGCAAAAGAACTTAGAAAAAAAGGACAGCTTGGCTTGTAGTTAAATCATCCTCATTACCTGATCCCCCGCCCTTATCTGCCTTAGATGCCACGCTCTTCTCTCAGCCCACAGGGCACATCTGGCTGCTCTCCTTTCCACTCCATAAAGTCACTCAGAGTTGGGAAACCTGCTGTCTGCAAAACCTACATAAATCAGCCAGGCCCTCTCTGGATTGCATAACGTATCCCCTCAGCAGCTGGAACAGTGCTACAGACCCCACATGCTGGCTGTTCCTCCCTGAGCTTCCCATTCCAGTGGTATAACGCAGGGCAGATGTTCGATCTGGGCCCTACAGGGCTATGCAGACAGTGGAAAGACAGCTGGTATCATTGAATGGAATTGATTTGGGACCCTGGGGAAAATCCCCAGAAATGTACCCTCCACATCTTCAGACCCTAAAATATAGGTTCTGTCTTTGTACCTTCTTCCCTCACCCCTCCAGGGACTTTCTCTGCCCCTTGTCTTTCATAAGTTCCCTTCTACTTTATAAAAACTTTGTCCGAGGGATGCCCAAAGCCAGTGCCTTTGGATACTGGAGTCTACATGTGTTGACTTCACTAGAACTAGTAACTAGAAAGAACCCAACAGAACAGTACCCACTAAGGCCAGGGGGGCAAAGCACTTGGATCACCCCCTAGACCTGTGACACTAGTCAGGCTACCCAACCACCCTGTTTTCCACCTCGTAAAGTGACGATGCTCATGCTGACAGCATGAGGATTAAAGGCAATGACAAGTAGACAAACACTTAGCCTACTTGCCTAGCTCTGAGGCAGCACTCAATTAACATGAACACTTTGGGGATGTAGCCCAGGTGATAGAATGCTTGCTAGCATGTATCAGTCTCTGGGTGATAAACTGGGGGTGGTTGCACATACCTGTAATCTCAGCACTTAGGAGACAGAGTTAGGAGAATCAGAAGTTGAAGATTATTCTTGACAACATAATTCAAAGCCAGCCTGGGCCACTTGTCTCAAAACAAACAAACAAAAAAAACCTACTTTGATACAATACAAGCTTTCACTCTGAAAATTTTTTTAGCTTTATACTTAAGACTTATCTATAACACGTTTAACCTATATAGTCTACATCTATTAATAGTTATCAAATTATAAAACTTGAAATGTTTTCATTTATTTAAAAGATACAATAATAAATTTGTGTGTTGACATAAATAACATTTTTTTTTTTGCAAAAAACCAATCATTTCTAAACGAAAAGGTCAGTGAAAAGAGCAGTACTGATTTACCTTTTGTGAGTCCATAAATGTCTTGCTTAACTGCAGACAGCTGGAATCATTCCAACTGCCTCGGATTCATACAAAAATTAGAGCAACGGGGACAAATGAAACCTAGAATACTTTCTAATCCCAGGCATGCCCCTCACCCCAGGTAGCCTCTGGACACCTTTGAGAAGGACTGGTACAAAGGAAGGTGAGTTGGAGGAAAGAGAAGTTTTTAAAGAAAGAGAAAAAGAGAGGGCTGGGGAGTGACTCTCTTGATAAAAGTGCTTGTGGTACAAGTATGAGGGCCCAAGTTCAATCCCTGCTACAGCACCATGCAAAAACAAGCAGGGTACAATGACATGTACCTGTAATCCCAGAACTGGAAAGACAGAGACAGGAGGGTTCTTTGCACTTGCTGGGTAGCCATTCTAGCCAAATCAGTGAACTCCAGGTTCAATGAGAGACCCTGTCAAAAACTAAGGTAGAGAGTGATTGAAGAACACACCCAGCGTCTGCCTTTGGCCTCCATACACACATGTACGAATCTGTACACACATAACATGCACACACACAAAGAGTCACCCCAGTTCAGTTTAGAGTCAGACTAATACCTGGAAATTAATCACTTCTGTGTCCTTGCACAGTGACTACTGTGGATACCATGTGTCTAGTATAGTATAAAACAATGCATTTGGAGGATATACCACATAAAGCTTAAAAGATGCTTCCAAAGTCTTGTCCGGACAGTCCACACTAGAAGCTGAGACCCAATGATATTTGCAGGACCCCCCGCCCCGCCCCTGACACACACACCTTTTCCTTTTTCCTGCCCCTCCTGCAGGGACCGCCTCCGAACCACCACCAATGTGCTGGGTGACTCCCTAGGAGCGGGAATTGTTGAGCACCTGTCACGACACGAACTGAAGAACCGAGATGTTGAAATGGGTAACTCAGTGATTGAAGAGAATGAAATGAAAAAACCGTATCAGCTGATCGCCCAGGACAGTGAAACTGAGAAGCCGGTGGACAGTGAAACGAAGATGTAGACTAACATACGAATGCTTCCTTGAGCACCAGGTGTTGGAAAACTATTATGAAGTGTGTCCACCTTGTTAAGCTCACTCCTGCAGTGAGCCCCTTCCCTCCCTTTCCTCCCTACTCTGATAGGATTGGAAAGTGTTCAAAAACAAGGGAGGATTTTGCAGCAGCCAAAATATAAAAGCTTCACCCATATTTGAAAATTTTAAATAATTTCATATTAGTCTTACAAAGTAAGGTAATGGGACCACACATAGCTTTGATCTTGCAAATTTATATGGTACATGATCCTGTGATTATTTTGTAAATTAAAGAATTAAAAATTTAATAGGTTGAAAATATTTTAAATCAAATTCAACATTTAAAATTTCCTTCAGAACCAACTGAATTTTAGTCTTAAAACCTAACAATTTGATGAACAGCTATCAATCACCAGATAGCTAGCAAAAGGGTTTTCCCTTTTCTTCTAACTTCTGTCCTGACCTTATCTGTTGCAGGAGAGTGTTCATATACCTGCAGCACAGCTGTGAGAAGGGGCAGAAAGTAAAGCTTCCATGTAACCTTGAGAGTCAGATCTCATCTCTTGACCTAAGTGTTGTCATTCAGAAAATGAGTGACTTCTCTGGACACCTTGGGCCTTTCTGGTCCAGACCTCCTGTGACATCAGGAAACAGCTTGCCCTCTATTTCCCCTTGGAATGCCCTGTACAAGTACCATTCCAGGGACCATGGGGCTCTCAAAGAGGACATTTAATGGGAGTGGGCATTTCTCTCTAGGAGCAGGATGGTATGTGGTTCACCAGGTCCTGTGTCTAAAATGTTGGACACGTCGCCAGGCAGAAAGCCATTTGGGGAGTAGGATAATTCATGAAGCCCTTTGCCCAGTTTTTCCCAACACAAGAAGCATTCCTTTCTTGCCTACTCTTCGCAAACTGAGGGGATTGTGCTAGTAAAATCTCCCACCACTCCTCAACTCACAATTAGATGTTTAGGAAATAAACAGAAGACTAGTGACTAGCGAATGTGTTCGTGGTCTTGCTGTGGAACACTAACAAACTAGGAAAGAACACAGTATGTCTGATATTACAAAGGGAGGACTTTAAACACCAGGAATATTGGTTTTCTTAAAGAAATATAAAAAGAAGAACCACATCTTGACTCTTTTTTTAACCTGAACACATCTTGTCTTCCATTTCAAATCAGTCCCCAAAAGTACATGCCACAATATCATGTCGCTCTTTCATATTTTAAAGTCAAACAAGTGAATTTCTGGGGCAGGTCCATGTGCTGGGTGAATGGTCTCTTATCTGAAAAAATGGGGGGGGGGACTTTAATCAGAAGTTCTTACAACAATAGAAACAAGATGCTTCTTTGTGTGGAAATCCGACTTACCAAATCATTCAAAACTTGCATCTACAGTGCGCTTTGCTTTAGTTCGTTTGTGTCCCTAAGAAAAATGGTAGAAGGATGAGTCAGGATGGAGATAATATCTATGAAGTTTCAAGAAAAGACAGCAGGGGCATTATTTTCAGGCAAAGCAGCTCCCAGGTTTAAAGGAGATTTTTTTTTTTAAACCTACTTAGGAAAATCCCCTCCCCTTGAAGACACTGTTGAGCCATCACATAATTCCAGCTGTGTTTGAGTTTCTGAACAAAAAAAGATGAAGAATGGATTTAATTATGCTAACAAACTGAAAATCTAAATAGGCATCTCCTGACCCACAATTAGATACCTTAAAGAGCTCCTGAGCCTTACATGCAAATAAAGGTTAATGCTAGGCTATGGTGGTATAACCATTTAATTTCAAGCTCTATTTGGGAAGTACACTACAAAAGTTAATGTATGTGGCAGTCATTACACTAGTAGAGCAGAAGTTAATCATGTCAAATTAATGCTGTTACACAGTGTGATGTTTTATACTAACCATCTCTTGTGAATGCAGATCCTCCAGGGTGATCCTTTTGCCAGTCCACCACAGGCTCTGCAAAATGCACCCACTATGGACTGGAAGACATTACGTTGTAGGTGTATTTTCAATAAAGAAAAAAATAGTTTTACATTAATACATTTGCATGTTATTCTTTTCCCCAAAGGAAAATAAATTTTCTCTTCATGGAAATAGTGCAATAAGCTCAGTACATACTAGGAAAAGATGCCACTCAGCACAGTAAAATCTTGGCAGAAACAGCTGGAGGAGTCAATCATGAGACAGTATGTAATGACATGCTCTGCAGCTCAACTCCTAAAACAGGAGATCAAAACAGGAGGTGATGAGAGAAGCACTTTGCTATAGCAGGTTGTTCTTACGTACCCAGATAAGAGTCAGATTTCTCAGATAAATGGAATCATTTCTGTGTTAAGATTAGAAAAGTGCAATGCCACCATGGACCGCTTCCAAAAAAAGTGATTTCCTGTCTGACCTTCAAATTAAGTAGATTTATCTCTGTGATTACTACTGCCACTTATGAAAGGAACTGATAAGATCTCAAGGGGTATTTCAGAATCAGCCCTGGAGCTACTGAACGCTGTTCATTAATAACCACTTATGGAGGACTACTCTTCCCTCAAGCTTTTTAATAAAAAACTGGCAGTATCATGAAATCTCCAGCTTGAAGTTGTCTCCAGGACTTTTAATCTCACCCTCTACCTGCAGGGGGCAGCCTATAGCAGACAGGCTCCTAAGTAGGGTCCATGGAGCCCTAAAGCATTGGTGGGAAGACCAATGGGATTATAGCCCTTGAAATTACAAAGAAAGTTTTGTGTGTTTGCATTTTTCTATGTGTGAGCTCCTTGATTTCCATCTCTATAGAGAACATCATCTATAGATAGCATAGATGATGTTCACTTAGCCAGTTTGGGAACAGGAAGGAGGTTTCTCACACCTGAGAAAACCAAACCTGGTCACCCTAAAGAGGGAAGCTTTCTGGGATCAAGCCACTGATAGAAAGTGCTTCCTCCTTTGACTAGTCTCCTTTCATTCTGCAGCCTTAGCTGAATGCTGCTCACCTCCATAGCATGGGCTGGGAAGCTTGTCACTGTGAGAGTATGGAGAGGCTTTTATGGCTGAGGAACAGGGCATCTCAGCCCCAGTGTGACCAGAAAGAGGAGGAAACAGGTAAAGATCCCTACACACGGTGGTCATAAATCTATTCACAAACAGAACTATAAGAAAATATTCAGGGAGCCTGGAAAGATGACTCAGCAGTTAAGAGCACCTACTGCTCTTGCAGACGACCTGAGTTCAATTCCCAGCAACCACACCAAGTAGCTCACAACTGCCTCTAACTCCAGCACCTAGGGTATCCAAAACTTTTAGCTTGCGAGTGCAGGTATCCGCACACCGACACACACATACATACACAATCAAAAATAAATTGAAAAAGTGTTCAGGCTAACATATTTTTTAAATGTTTGCAAGTAAATGTGTTTAGGATTTTTTTTTTTTTTCCTCCAGTATTTTAAAAAATTCTAGGCCCTCGGAAGTTAGGGTCTGTGTCTTCCCTCCTATAGTCATCTGGTCATCTCCACTGTCCACAACAACAGGATTCTCTTTCCTAAGTGGAAAAAAGCCTGTCTTTCACACACACCTCCCATGCCCTTATTTATATACACCACACTGGGAGAAAAAAAATAATTTGACATTCTAACGCTGTTATTTGCATGAGTCTGAAGGGAGCTTGGAGGAAGGGCTTGTTTCCTTGCTTATGTGGAAGACCCTGCTGGGGCCTGGAGCCCAAGGCCTCTTTCCGGGCAGCCTGCTGGGCACTTGACCCAGGCTGCTGTCAGTCATCCTTCCTCTGTGCTGGGTAGCTTCCCCAGCTACCACCCGGGTGGTCCCAGATCTGGAACAACAATACCTAACTGTGTGGCCTCGTCCTGGGGCCAGAGCAGCTGAGAAGTGTCATGTCTAGGGTGTACTCTGAATGAATAAGCCAACAGAAAATGAAGGGTAATGTCCTAAGAGCCTAAGTGATGAGACATCCCAGGGGCGGGGGCGGCATATCCACTGTAGACTGGGGAGCCCAACCTGGACCACTGGAAAGGGCTTGAGAAATCACCTGGATTACATCTAATTTCAAGATTGGCAGGACAAAAGGAAATTAATCTGGTAAAAAGCCATCAAGTGGCTTGAAATTCCTGAAGGCCCTCCTTTCATGTGTCTTCCCGTCACCCTGCTCTGCAAAATCTTTCCAAAGAAGCCCCCTTTTCCTAGGCCTGCTTGGCCCTTCCTTTCCCCTCTCACCACCTTTCAGAACCCTTTTGAAGAATCCCACTTTCCCATTCTTTCACTTAGTTTCCCAGCCACAGGCAAACACTCATGAGGTGGCACGGCAACGCTTTCCAATTGCTGGGTATAGCCATCCTGTCCAAAAACTGCTGTCTTTAGTTTTAAAACATTCACATTTCACTGAATTCTATACCTTTAAGTAGGGTTGTCAGTTAAAATACAAGACATCCTGTTAAACTTGAACTTCAGATAAATAACCAAATAATGTTTTAGTATAAGTAGTAAATGATAAATAATTCGTTGAATGTGCAGAATATGACATCGGTCATCGTGTGTTATCTGTAAATATGAACCCCTTACACATAAGTGAAATGAAGAATCAAAAATAATGTATATTTGCTTCATTGCAGCGAACCTAATAAGTGAATACCTTCGTGTGTTGGGGAGGGGTCTTCATTAGATTCATTCCAATTTTGAATTTCTCCATGAAAGCAAAAACATTCTTTGAGAAGTCCACATCTAACTTCCCAACCATTTATTTGTCCTGGCAACATTATCACTCATTATGCACTTGTAAATCTTATGGCCACAGTTTAAAACGCTGATGTATATCACCTTTAAGACTTCACACAACTGTCCGGAATAAATTAAACAGTGTTTCAGTTATCCATGCTTGAAATATCTTAAGACTCACATCTGTTTTTCTTTCCTTCCATCTCTTTTCTTCCTCCTCCTTATACTCGCCCTACTCCAACGTGGGATTTTTTCTGCAATCCATTATAGTACTGGGAAAAAATGGTACTAACTTGCTGTTTCCCAGTGGTGGATACTTTTTTTTTTTAACTTGGGGGTGCCTGTTAGAAAAGCATTCGTGTATTTTTCATACTGTGCTCATCAAAGCTAATCATTTTCCAATTGCTGTAAAGAGAGGAATGGGACATTTTTTCAAAACCTTGTCCAGGAACTCCAGACTCTGTGAATGGGAGTCCACAAAAGCCCCTTCTTAAGCCAGGCCTTAAGGACATGAGAAGCAGAGCCCACTGGTACTGCAGAAGGGAACTAAATAGAATCACACTCTTCCCCAGTAACGGCAGGTACACAGCCACTTTGGAAGATGGCATCAGGTGACAACTTGGAGAATTCTTTTACCAAACCCATTGGTTTAGGAGATCATAAAAAGTCAAAAGTAATTAGCTAATTAATTAATTAATACATAAATAAATAAAGTTCTGAAAGTGGACAGCCAGGAGCTTTGAGACAGACTTGTTGAAGGAGAAAATAAAGGCCATTCAGGAGATAGCTCAGCCCAGTGCAATGAACTGATCAGTTAGCCTGTCCTGGGGGGAAAATAGCTGACCAAGATTCTGTCAGCAATGCAAATCTGAAAACTGTCACCCAGTTCCACTTTCTTGAAATTACAGGATCCCAAAGAGACACTTTTGCCTTTAAGCCCCTGAGGAACTATGAAGCAAACAAGTAGAAAACAGTTACAGTAAAGAAAACTTTATACCAGCATTTGGAAGAATGAAGTTCTGAGTTGGTGGCCAGCCTGTGCGAGAGAGAGAGAGAGAGAGAGAGAGAGAGAGAGAGAGAGAGAGAAAGAGAGATTCATATTCCCAAAAACAAAGGCTTTCAGCTTCAAGGTGGTGTTTGAATCCAAATCTATGCACAGTGACGGTGAGCCTACACTGTCACACCAGAATACTCCACCTTTTGTGAAAGCCCCTGGACCTGGGTGACCCACCTATACATATGGGAGTTGGATAAGGCCCATCATCTTCAAATTAACTTTTACACTGGGTTGTGGTATGTTTGAGAGAATGCTCATAAAGTGGGTGTTAAACAGTCACCTAATCTTGGCACATTATAAATTTCAACTTCACTGAAAATGGGTATAATCATTCCTTCTCCAGGAGGTATAATGAAAATTAAATAAAATATATATTCATCATATATGCACATGTGTTTATCAAATTATCAACACAGTTACTGGCATTCAGGAAGATTCTTTCAATGTTTAAAACAAAACCAGCCAACAAAGGTGTGTGGGTGACACTGGAGGAGGTGAGTGGTGATCTGAGCCCACAGTGTGTTGGAAGGAACATCCTGGGAAGGCTACAGACCTGCATCTTCTGGGAAGGGAGGTTGTGGGGAGGCCTGTCACCCCTGGAAACCAGGGGCACGGAAGTCTGCCAGGGCTCTTCATGAGGGACCCAGACTTTGCACGGGGTTGGGCCAGCTGCCCCTGCCAGTCTCTCCCAAGCCTTTGTCAATCCTGGCTCTCCCAGCAGCCCCGTGCTGCACGGCGGTTTTGTGAAGCGCATAATTCAACACTCCAAGGAGACCACCCAGCTTCCTCTCCCAAAGTCTCCCAGAGAACAGAACTATCCCTCTGTGTGCGGATGACCTCCCCCACGGCCAGGCCCCCTCCCAGCCAAGGGGAAGTGGGCGATCCAGTCAGCCTTCCCTCGGTGGGAACCCAGGGCATGCGTTGCTAATGAGCGGTCCACCATCGCAGGCCAAGCTGAGTCTGAAATGTTGCTGCCACCCTGTGGTAAAGGACTCCAGGACCAGAGCAGCCCAGATCTTGTGGAAACACTGAACATTGTTCTGGAAAGTCATTACTGATGGACTCGGGGAGTGCCATAGAGCCAGAAATTACTCAGAAGTCTGAAAGAAAAAGGAACTTGAAGCAGTCTATATTTATGGCAAGGTTCTCAAAGTGTGGGACAGGCTGACCAGCAACATCCCCTGGGAATTGACTAGAACTGTGAGTTGCACATTCCTAGACCTACCAAACAGAAAGTCAAGATAGGGCCCGCTCTGCCATCTGCT